CCACATTTCAGGAAAGATGTGGACAAATTGGAGAAAGTCCAGAGAAGAGCAACAAAAATGATTAAAGGTCTAGAAAACATGATCTCTGAGGGAATATTGCAAAAATTGGGTTTGTTTAGTCTGAAGCAGAGAAGACTGATAGGAGACATAACAGTTTTCAAGTACATAAAAGATTGTTATAAGGAGGAGGGAGAAAAATTGTTTTTGTTAACCTCTGAGGATAGGACAAGAAGCAATGGGCTTAAATTGCACCAAGGGAGGTTTAGGTTGGACATTAGGAAAAACTTCCTGTCAGGGTAGTTAAGCACTGGAATAAATTGCCTAGGGAGATTGTCTAACCTGCTCTTAAACATCTCCAGTGATGGAGATTCCACAAACACCTGTCCGGGATGGTCTAGATCAAGCGTGCAGGGGACTGGACTAGATGAGCTCTCGAGGTCCCTTCCAGTCCTACGATTCTGTGATTCTACACAATTCTTTATTGGCATAGCAGTACCTCCCCCTGTCTACATGGCTGCCCACCCTGACTGCCCCCCTCAGAACCTCCCACCCATCCAACTCCCCCTGCTCCTTGTCCCCTGACTGCCCCTTCCCGGGACCCCTGCCCCTAACTGCCCCCCGGGATCCCACCCCCTTATCTAGCCCCCCTGCTCCCTGTCCCCTGACTGCCCTCTCAACCCCTATCCACATCCCAGCCCCCTGACAGGCACCCCGGGACTCCCACTCCCAACCCTCCCTGTTCCCCATCCCCTGACCGTCCCCCCAGAACCTCCGCCCCATCCAACCACCCCCTCCTCCCTGATGGCCCCCCAGGATCCCCTGCTCCCTTACCCAACCCCCTCCCGCTCCCCGCCCCTTGCGGCTGCGAGCTCCTGCTGCTGGTGACACCCGGCCAGAGCCAGCTGTGCTGCCCAGCGGGAGCGGCAGGCCAGAGCACGGCCCATGTGGCTGCAGGGGAGGGGCCAGGAACTAGGCTCCCCAGGCAGGATGGTCCCGCAGGCCAGATGTGGCCCGTAGGCCGTAGTTTGCCCACGTCTGCCCTACATGCTGCTGTCAGGGAATGTGCAGCGTAGACATACCCATAGTGTGGTACACTTGTTACCTCTGTCATGATCCTGTACCAGTAAGCATTTTCTTCCATTATTTTTTCTTTTCTTTTTCTTTTAACAGGACAAAAGCCAAAAGTTTCAGAAAATGATTTTGAGGATCTATTATCTAATCAAGGATTTTCAGCTAAATCTGACAAAAAAGGAACCAAGACAATTGCCGAGATGAGAAAGCAAGAAATGTCTAAAGACATGGACCCCTTAAAATTAAAGGTTTGATGTTTAATAATAAAAACCGTTGTTTTGATTCAAATATAAACATAATTCTGTTACTTCCTACTATTGATGGTAGAATGGGGGAGGATACAGTGAAGGATAAAAGAGAAACTGAAGGGATACAAAGATGGTAAAAATTGATAATAAAATTTTACATGTGTTTCCACCCATGTGCGGAATAACTCGGAGGAACCTACTGGTCTTAATGCATGAATGTATATCCTAATTGGTTAGCGTAACCAAGATACAGTGGACAACTGGGGTATCAGTACAGAAGAGAATGATTTGCTCAGGAGAGAGGGTTTGTTCTGTATTGGCATGCTTTGAAGTGCAGATGGTGGTAAAACTCCTCTCTCAAGTGTATGATAAGATAAAAAGGAGCAAAAAAAGAAAGGGTAACTTATGCTGTGGCTCATCTGTTACAGGCCACCTAATCCAGAAGGGGAGGTGGACAAGGTAATCCTAGAACAGATCTAACGCCCGTTTCACAAGAAATGATTGTAAAAGGATTTTGAGACTTTGAAAATGACTAGGTAAAATCTCATGGAGAAATTGAATATGGGGGAGAAGAGTGTGAGAGAGCTGGACAGTTCTAAAGAACATAATTACGAACTCAGCTGAAAACAAACCAAGATACAAACAAGTAAAATCCTGATGTGTGTGAACTGAAGTTTTACATCTAATGCAGGATTTTCTCCCATAGGGAGTACAAGGGCCTGGGTTTCCCATTTCATTAAAGAGCACGTCTTGGTACAGACTTGGCTAGACAAGCACAACTCACTTTTTGACTATGGAGAAGATGGGAGGGTGCATTTCTGGTCTGTGCCAAACTGGGAGAGCTTGGGTCAAAAGGTTTTCATTGCTGTCAGGTCCACTCTTTGGCAGCTAGAGCCTTGTTTTATTACCTTTTCTCCAATCAAGTGCAGTTTCACTAGTGCCCTTTCAGCGAAGGGGTTCAGGGCTATGGTGCTGTGATGGCTGTGTCTGATAATACAAAATTACGGCTTGTGGAGAACAAAAACTACTTGAGAATCACTTTCTTAGGGCAGGTCATTCATTCTCCTCCCAGTGGCTCTCTGCCCCTTTATCAAATCCACTGAAAATGGACTATTTCAACTTGTATTAAAATTACTCTTTCCAGTCTCCAGGGTGGCATCACCCCCATGTGTATTCTGATCCGATTTTGTATTTCTTCCTGGTACATTACTTGCAGATAAGGTTAAATGGTAACATTTACTATTTAGTTTTGTAAAACATTGTGAGGATAAAGTACGTAGTTCTGAACAATATTAATAGAAATAATCTCTGGGAGGAAGTGGGGAAATCAGCGTATTGATGGCATATTCCAACTCGTGTCCATAGGTTGGGTTGAATGCTTTTTTATGTAAAATACTATAAATAAAAAATAGAGCCTTTTACCTGCCATCACCGGTGTTAGTAGGGGAGCTGGGAGATATTCCATACTGTGATATTACAATTTAGAGAGACTCCCCTTACTGCCATAAGGATTCTATATTGATTGATGTAAAGATCATTCTATAAAATCAACTAAGAAAAGGGCATTGTTAGCCAATTGTAGTTCAAGGGGCAATCTAGTACAGAAAACTTCAATTTACTCAAGCAAGCCATATGAGTGTACAAGTCTCAAAACAGCTTAAGATCCTTACCTGAAATTTACAAGTAAAACAAGATTTCTAGCACTGGAATGGACAACCTGTGTTACCATGGGATTAATTAGTGTAACTAAAATGAATATTCTGCCATGGTTACTTTGTTCAGATCACTCCTTGTCATCTATTATACAGTTTTTACACTTAACTTGTTAATAATTCAGTTCTCTTGGAATGATTCCTATCTAAGAAAGAGCCAAATAAATAACTACATATAAACATGCTGGTCCTCGGCTAGCAGACTTGATATATCACTGTTGGGTTCCAAGGCTAAGCATGGTGTCCACTCTGTGGAATTTGGATGCACGATTAAGATCATATTTGTAAAGTGCTCTCAAAACTTTTGAAGCCCAAGGTCCAATTGTCTTGTTTTCAATGATGGGAGAGTAAAGTATCTTCAAGCGAATTGGAAGCACCATTTAAGGCAGCTGCAGTCAGTTTGAATTTTTCTAATTTTGTTTCAGATTCTAGATTGGATTGAAGGAAAAGAGAGAAATATAAGAGCATTAATATCCACTCTTCACACTGTGCTCTGGGAAGGGGAGAACAAGTGGAAGCCAGTTGGCATGGCAGACCTAGTTACCCCTGAACAAGTAAAGAAGTACTATAGGAAGGCAGTACTTGTGGTTCATCCAGATAAGGTGAGTAGTTTTCTTGGGTATGTTAAAGGCTATTTATCAAACTGGTATTACCAAATGTGACAGACCCAGACCAGTGGGGTACAGGAGTCTGGTAGAGGGCAAATATACTGGTCACTGGATGAGTAGTTTTCTGTTCCCTGAGTGACCAGAGCAGGGACTGCACTAGAGTAATCAGGAACCTGCTAGAACCAGTTAAGGCAGGCAGGCTAATTAGGACACCTGGAGCCAATTAAGAAACTGCTAGAATCAATTAAGGCAGGCTAATCAGGTCACCTGGGTTTTAAAAAGGAGCTCACTTCAGTTTGTGGTGCGAGTGTGAGGCGCTGGGAGCAAGAGGCGTAAGGAGCTGAGAGGGTGAGGGTGTGCTGCTGGAGGACTGAGGAGCACAAGCGTTATCAGACACCAGGAGGAAGGTCCTGTGGTGAGAATAAGGAAGGTGTTTGGAGGAGGCCATGGGGAAGTAGCCCAGGGAGTTGTAGCTGTCATGCAGCTGTTACAGGAGGCACTATAGACAGCTGCAGTCCACAGGGCCCTGGGCTGGAACCCGGAGTAGAGGGCGGGCCCGGGTTCCCCCCAAACTTCCCAATTGACCTGGACTGTGGGTTCTTCCAGAGGGGAAAGTCTCTGGGCTGTTCCCCAACCCTAATGGTGAATCTCTGAGGCAAGAAAATCCGCCAATAAGCGCAGGACCCACCAAGATAGAGGAGGAACTTTGTCACACAAATTAATTCTGCAATCCTAAAAGGAAAATCTGCTAAGCTTCCTGCTTTTGAACAGACACCCGCGCAAGCACGGCAAGGCTCGGTGGGGAAGGGTTTGATATTGGCAGGGACAATAGGCTAGTTTCTGGGCATTTTTTCAGTCCACTTTTCTGCTGTACGGTTATTGTGTTGAACTCTGGCACTTCTAAGGTGGCAGCATCAGACTGTGGAGATAAGGATCTCCAGGGAAAGGAGAGAGAAGAGGGTCTCCAGCAGCTGGGCTGGACAGTAGTGCTTAGTGCTGCCTTACCCATCAGCACCTGTTTGGTGAAGGAGGAATGAAGTGGAATGGATTCCCTTCAGATGCAAAGGTTGAGAAGCACTTTTACCACCACTCATATTATCATTCACTAGACCCAGCTACATGGGTGCTTGGCCAGCCACATGCTCTGCCTTCCTTCCGTTTGTTCTGTTGTCTTCTGAAGTTAGCACACCAATGAGACCGTACAGTACAGGAATTCAAGTCTCACTCCTCATCCATAACACAGTGATGAGGTGTCAGAGCAGCCGGGGCTGAGTCCTGCCCTCACCTGAACTCCTGCCCGTCTGGGTCCCACTCGGGTCAGTCTGAGAAAAGCCCAGTTACTGGAGCAGAGTTCTGTTAGGTTCTGGACATCTGCCAACCAAAATGCAGATCAGTGTAATCGGTGCTTAATCTCTACTTCTTGAATGGGTCTTGGGGAGGGTCCTCCAACTCCCAGGCCTCCCAGAGATTTCAATGGTCCCATGTAAGCCACAGCAAACTGGATATAAAATCTGCTGAAAGGTCCTGGTGGGAATTATGTGGCAGCTTCCAATTAAAAAAAAAAAAATACAAAAAAAGAATAATCCAATAAGCACAGTAGTCCCGATGTAAATGGTGATTATATCTACAATATCTGTAGTGTCAGCAATAACACTCCTATAAAAAGCAACAGAGGCTCTAGACCAGCAACACCATCACAGGACCTAACCAGATCAGCTCCATCATCACCGGCTCATTCACCTGCACGTCCACCAATGTTATATATGCCATCATGTGCCAGCAACGCCCCTCTGCTATGTACATTGGCCAAACTGGACAGTCACTACGCAAGAGGATAAATGGACACAAGTCAGATATCAGGAATGGTAATATACAAAAACCTGTAGGAGAACACTTCAACCTCCCTGGCCACATGTAAAGGTAAATGTAAATGTAAAGATGTAAAGGTAGCCATCTTACAGCAAAAAAACTTCAGGATCAGACTCCAAAGAGAAACTGCTGAGCTCCAGTTCATTTGCAAATTTGACACCATCAGATCAGGATTAAACAAAGACTGTGAATGGCTTTCCAACTACAGAAGCAGTTTCTCCTCCCTTGGTGTTCACACCTCAACTGCTAGCAGAGCACCTCACCCTCCTTGATTGAACTAACCTCGTTATCTCCATGCTGATTTATACCTGCCTCTGGAGATTTCCATTACTTGCGTCTGATGAAGTGGGCATTCGCCCACGAAAGCTTATGCTCCAATACTTCTGTTAGTCTTAAAGGTGCTACAGGACCCTCTGTTGCTTTATACAGATTCAGACTAACACGGCTACCCCTCTTTTACTTGACTCCTGTAAAAATATTAGGGCAGTTCACCCCTTTCAGGCCTCCTGTTCGTGGCTGTGTACAGATGTAGGAAGATAACATTGCATCTCTTGCACTTGGTTCACATTTTCATTCTTTTCTAACAACGAGAGCAAGAATTAAGAAATTTTTAAAAAAAGAAAACTCCGATTCTGGAGCATAATCCCGCAGCAACGTCTGGGGTTGCAGAATACACGGGGCCTTGTGTTTATGCCCATCTGAGCCAGGATGAGTTAAAATGGAGCAGGTGGTGTATCTGCAGTATTGCTGTGCACGCACTGGTTCCCCAGACCAATTTAGATTGAGGTCTGTGCTGCGACAGCAGAACTTCCTCCATGACTTGGTGTATTCCTTTGAGGGTAAAAAGCCTAGGAGTGTTCATAGTCAGCAGTGCATGTTCAACTAGGAAAGTCGGACTCCAGCATAAAAGAATTTAACAGCGTTCTTGGAAATCGCTCTTCAGTTGCATTGTGGGGTACTAATGTAAGAGCTGCCGTGCAGTAGTTTCTACCTAAATTAGTTTTTATTTCATTTTTAAAGAGCCACTTGCTGAAAATGAAGATCATTAGCTATTAACTCCTTTAATACAAGATGGAAACTTTAGTACGACTTCAGTTACACTGAGCAGATTAGACTAAAAATTTGAAGCGATGCAGGCAAATTATAATCCCTCAGTGCCATTTAAACTCTGACTTTGGTATATATGAGGATTTGGGGGAAAAGGGAATTACAGGTTCTGGATGAAAAAGCCACACAAACTTACAGCACTATATAACAAATAAAAGTAAACAGAAAGAGGCTAAACAAGAGACTGTGTGTGAATTTCACTGTTAGTAAAATGCAGTTTTTTCTCAAGCCCTGCTGCAACTCTTCACATTCTTTAGACTTCTGCAGTAAGCTTCTAATACCTGCTCTGTTTGTTTACAGGCCACAGGACAGCCTTATGAACAGTATGCCAAAATGATCTTCATGGAGTTGAGTGATGCATGGTCAGAGTTTGAAAACCAGGGATCAAAATCCCTTTTCTAAAACTTCATCTGTACGGGATTTTCAAAATGTATGTGCAGCAAAATGGAGTGGAGTATTGTTAGTCTGAATTTCTTATCTCTAGGATTTAGGAAAGATTTTTGCATGATTTCAGCACAGTTTGAAATCATACACTCAGAAGTGGGTGATACATTTTGTAAGATGCAGAATCCAAAACATACACAGATGCACTCAGAAAACAGCTGCTCAGTGCTTCAGAATCTTAGCCTGAGAACAGATCTTTCCATTCCGGTTTAAATATGGTGAAATAGAAATAACTTTAATGATGTCCACTGATTTTTGGCGTAATGGTATCAAAAGCGTAAGCCATTCCAAATCCACTGATTTTTTTTATTTTTCTTTAAAAGAAACACACAACCTCAATTTGTACTTTATATTTTCAATAGTTATATGATTTGATTTTGATGTTTGGTGCCGTCGCCTTATTCTAAGTGCTTTAGTTATATTATCAGCAGTGAATTTGCTCAGCATATCTTTTTGTTGAATCTATAAGAGGTGTACATTTTCATCTGTATTTTGTGTAATCATTCAGATAATCATTCTGTAAATAATTAAAATATTTTCTGACAATACCTGTGTTCCTTACAATGAATTGACAGTTGCTTAGCCAAAAAGCTCCCAGTTATGGGAAAGTCAGCCAGGGTTGTTCTTGATTTTTTTTTTTATTTTATTATTATTTTTTTAATGCATATCATGAACCTGGAAATAAATCTTAGCTTTAATATAAGGACTGCACATTCTAACTTTTTGTTATTTATTATGAACTTTAGAAAGGCACAACTATGACTAGCGTTTATTTTCCTACTCTGTGAATTTCAGCTTTTACTCGTATTTTTTTTTCCAGTGGAATGTGCCTTCCATTGGCGTTATAAATACCATACTAGAAAAAATGTTGACAGTCATTTATTCCGAAACTTGAAATGTGAGCACAAAACCGTTTACTCTGCTTTGATTTGTCTGTTTTAACTGAGTCAATGTTATATTGTTAGCTATCCTCTTGAAAGCATTTCCTGTGCTTATGCTGACAGTGGGATACTTATGTTGCATGTCTGAGAACTTGATTTTTAGAAGCCTGCATGCACATAGCTATGTATGCAAAGAACCAACCAGTGTGTATAGTTAGGACATCATATACTTGATGTACACTGTGAGTGCATTGGCTGGTGCAAGCCTAGTTGAGAACACAGCGTGAGAACACAGCTCACTGCACTGTTTCTCATCTCTTTAAAAAAGAAACAAAAATTAACATGTACAAGTATATGGATAATTGAATACGAACGACCAATGACTATTGTACAGTATTGTATAACTCCAAACTGTAAATCCCAGTTCCTGGGGCTAGTTTGCAAATGTTTGTTGGAGTGATATTTAAATTTTGGTGACAGTCTCTTGCACTGGAGCTTTGCTACCCAAGTAGCTTAAAAGATGTATTTTTAATCAATTTGCCTTTGCATCCAATTTGGATTCTTAACTGCGAAAGGGGCTGCAGTGACATCAAGGTAGCTGTCTTACAATGAGCATCTTATAATTTTTCTATTCCGATTATCCCACAATTTGCATGAAATGAGGCTTTCCACTGCCAAATCGACATCACAGTGAATGGGTTGGAGAAGAGGTTGGTTGGGGGGGTGGGTACACTTTACAGGCTCCCACCAAACTCAGATACAACACAGTTGAACTGTTACCTCTGTATGTAATGTGTGTACATATATTCGGTCACTGTGAATTTTGAAAGAGTGGAGGAGGATTATTGAACTCTGATCTGAAATGCAAAGTATGGCCTTATGCCGGCACAGCTCTGAATTAGCCTTAATCTCATTGGTTCTTCTTTGAGTGCTTGCTCACATCGATTCCATTCTGGGTGTGTGCGCATCCACATGCACAGTTGTCAGAGAGTTTTGCCTTAGCTGTATCCGTAGGGTTGGCTGTGGTGCCTTCTGGAGTGCCACGCTCATGCATCGGTACATCAGGCACCAACAGCCCTACGCCCTCTCAGTTCCTTCTTGCCGCCTGTGCTGGTTGGTCCAAGTGCCTCGCAGGTGGTCAGTGGTTCTTTCCCTTTGAGTTACAGCTGTAAATAGTTTTGTTTAATGTAGATTAGTTAGTAAGTAGCCGTTAAGTACTGCAGTTAGTCCGTAAGGGTCCCGGTGGGGACTTTGCCCCAGGCAGGGCAAGCCCCAGTCACCGGGTTTTAAGCCCTGCCTGTTAGTGACCTGCATGGCAGCTGTCTGAAGTGCCTGGGGGAATCCCAGGTAAAAGAAAAGTGTTACATCTGTAAGCACTTTTGTCCCAAGACACAGAAAGAATGCGACATTCGTTTGAAGGCCCTCCTCATGGAGGCTGCTCTCCAGCCTCAGAGCTGTCCTAGCTGGATGCAACTCCCAGCACTTTGGGCTCTGTGTGTAGTGCACCCCTGGCACCGGGCTCGACCCGGCACCGATCCCCAAGAAGAAGTCTAAAAAGCAGGAACCAGCACTGAGCAAGATGGACCATGGGGCATTGGGTAAAGGACCCTGTTTTGGCCACTGGCCCATGCCAGAGCCCCAGGGGGACATGTCCCTGAGGAGACCACCTACCCCCCAAGGGATCTGCCACTGATTCCAGGGAGCGGTAGGGGACCCAGACTTATGGCGGAGTTAATGCCTTCCCCGCTCCCAGCGCTGAGAAAGCAAAGGACATCGTGTGTGGCGATGGACCCAGCAAAGGCTCTCTACGAGAGAAAGCCAGCCATGAAAGCCTCCCAGAAGGCGAGTGAATGCTGCCGGTTTCTGGAGCTGAAGCAGAACTCCTTGTTGCTGAGTCCCTGGTTTCCGCATTAGCCCAGGTCAGCGGTTCACCACCACAGATCGCCAGCACTGCCCTCCTGGTTTCCATCCTCTCATTGGCTCCAATTCACTGCGCTTCCCCTTGGCCTCTCCTTGGCACCGCGAGTATTTACAAAATGCCTGGCCCCAATAGTCGCTTACTTGAGGCATCGGGGGGGCCCAGGTCTATCCTTATCTCAACGATTGGCTCATCAAGGGCAGGTCGCGGGATCAAGTGCAGAACAGTCTCTTGATCTGGTGCGTTCCACCAGTCACGACCTGGGCCTGTTAGTGAACGAAAAGAAATCGACCCTCATACCAGTGCAACGAATAGAGTTTATTGAGGCAATCCTCAACTCCACACGGGTTCCTTCTGGAGTCCCTTTTCCAAGCCATTTCGGATGTGATTTCCTGTATAAGGGGCCACCTGCTCACCACTGCCCGCACTTGCCTATGGTGGCTAGGCCACATGGCTGCCTGTACTTACATGGTCCGTCATGCCCAGCTCCACCTCCGGCCGCTGCAGGCTTGGTTGGCATCAGTCTATATCCCCAACAGGCATGACCTCGATCTGGTAGTCAAGGTGCCGGACCACACCCAGTCATCACTGGCATGGTGGTTGGACCCCCTCCATTGGCATTGCAGGGAGTTCCCTTGGCGGTCCCATCGCTAACTCTGGTTTCCGACGTCTTGGACCTGGGCTGGGGGACCCACCTGGGTGAGCTCAGTACACAAGGCTGCTGGTTGGGGTTTGACTGCTCTCTCCACATAAATGTCAGGGAGCTCAGAGCGGTTTGCCTGGCCTGTCAGGCTTCTCGGTCCCACTTACAAGGCAAAGTGGTTCAAGTCCTGATGGACGACATCACCATGATGTTTTATATCAACAAAAGCAAGACGGAGCCAGGTCACCAGCCCTCTGCTAGGAAGCCCTCCAGCTCTGGGCCTTCTGTGTGCAGCATGCTATTCATCTGCTGGCAGCGCACCGCCCCGGAACCAGGAACATGTTAGCAGCTTGCCTCAGCAGAGCCTTGTCGTCTGTCCACGAATGGTCACTCCACCCCGAGGTGATCAGCGGGATCTTCTGAAAGTGGGGATCTCCCCAGGTGGACTTGTTCACAACTGGACAGAACAGGAAATGCCATCTGTTCTGCTCATTTCGGGGGATCAACAGGGGCTCCTTGTCGGACGCCGCCTTACTTCCGTGGTCGGGGCTCTGATGTACACTTTCCCACCAGTGTAGTTGCGTCACAGAGTCCTCATGAAGATAAATGGACAAGGCCAAGGTTATCCTGATGGCCCTGGCTTGGCCTCGGCACACTGATGGACCTGTTGGCGATGTCCCTGCTGCAGCTGCCCCTCTGGCTGGATCTTCTGTCCCAGAATCACGGCAGGCTCCTGCACCCGAATCTGACAGCGCTGCACCTACTGCTTGGTTGCTGCATGGTTAACTGCTGAAGAGCAGGAGTGGTCGGCCCACATCCAGCAGATCCTACTGGGTAGTAAAAAGCCCTCCACTAGAGCAACCTTCCTGGCCAAATGGAAACTATTCACGTGCCTCGGCCCTAGGGGTTAGGCCTGAGCAGGCCTTGCTGCAGTCGATCCTGGACTACCTTGTGCATCTCAAGCTCCATCAATTAAGGTCCACTTAGCCGCCATATCAGCCTTTCACCCTCCGTTCCAGGGCAGATCAGTCTTCGCTCATAACATGACAGTCTGGTTCTTGAAAGGTCTGGAGTGACTTTATCCCCAGGTCTGGGACCAAGTCCCTCTGTGGGACCTGAATCTGGTGCTTGCCAGGCTCAGGAGAGCTCCCTTCGAGCCCTTGGCATCCTGTTCCCTTCTTCTGCTCTCCTGCAAGCTGTCATTCCTGGTGGCGATAACTTCTGCCTGAAGGGTCTCTGAGATTTGGGCACTTACCTCGGGCCTGTCCTATACAGTGTTTTTCATGGACAAGGTCCAGCTGCAGCCGCATCCGGCTTTCCTGCCCAAGGTGGTTTCGCAATTTCACATGAGCCAGGACATATTTTTGCCAGTCTTCTTCCTGAAGCCTCATAAGTCTGAGGAGGAACATAGGTTGCACTCCCTGCAAGCCTTCTACATCGAGAGGACCAAGCCATTCCGCAAGTCGCCACCATGGCCAATAGGATGAAAGGTCGTCCAGTGTCCACCTAGAGAATTTAATCATGGATCACTGCCTGCATCCGATTTTGCTATCATCAGGCAAAAGTGCCTCCACCGGCGATTTGTAACCACCCACTGAACTAGAGTACAAGCCTTGGCAGCGGCCTTCCTGGCCCATGTGCCAATTCTAAACATCTGCAGGGCCGCCACCTGGTCATCCATTCACACATTCACATCTCACTATGCACTTACCCAGCAAGCCCGAGACAATGCTGGCTTCGGTAGAGCAGTATTACAAGCTGCACATCCGTTAATTCTGAGACCACCTCCGGGAATACTGCTTGTGAGTCACTTAGAATGGGATCGACATGAGCAAGCACTCGAAGAATTAAAAATGGTTACCTACCTTTTCACATCTGCTCTTGGAGAGGGAAGGGGGGAGGGATAGCTCAATGGTTTGAGCATTGGCCTGCTAAACCCAGGATTGTGAGTTCAATCCTTGAGGGGCCCATTTAGGGATCTGGGGCAAAAATCTGTCTGGGGATTGGTCCTGCCTTGAGCAGGGGGTTGGACTAGATGACCTCCTGAGGTCCCTTCCAACCCTGATATTCTATGATTCTGTGTGTTGCTCATGTCCATTCCATTACCTACCCACCTGCCCCTCTGTCGGAGTTGCCGGCAAGAAGGAACTGAGAGGGCATAGGGC